ATATATATATATATATATATATATATATATATATACACACATACATCCAATCACAAGTTTCACTACGCAGAGAGGCTAACAGATATTGTGCACGTCGATCCATGTTCAAGATGAGTAGCTTGGTGCCATCCAATTATAAGCATTACCTACGCAAAGAGGACCTCCATCTTTGGCTGCGGAAATTACATTCCGCAAGATATACATTGCTAAGAATATTGTTTCGAAGACTATCACAAGCATTATCATGATGATACAATTGCAAGCAAGAACGGCATACTCGTTGATGACTAAAACACCAACTTATTGGAGTACCAATTTTACTGAAATATAACGACACCGAATATAATACAAATAAGCTGACATTTTATCCAATGCCTATTAGTCGAAAAGATCAAGACATTGATCTGCACGGTAGCAGATCAAACTTACTGAGCACAATACCAGTGGTCACCACAAACGTCTGAATCCTCGGTACAACTTTCATCATACATCTTTTGTTCCCCATTTTTAGTTGCATAAAATGGGAGCCGCGGAATCTTTTCTGCAGACTCTTAAACATCCCACAAATTGTTCCTACATGGACTGCAAATTTGGAGCAAATAGATAATTCTGTACTTGCCACAATCTATAAGAGCTATGCAATGTTCAAGGGCCTGACGTCCCACTATGAACCAACAGTTAAATGTCAATCATCATTCTGATACAGTTATTTCACAACCACTACAACTATTTTTCCTACAGTGGATATTTAAACACATTTCAAGAAAAGAGCAAATTTTCCAAGTGTCGTAATCTACACGATAAAATACTTTACAGCAGCTGATCGCTTGTCCTGGATCGGTCAAGACACTTGATTTAGTTGTTTACGAGCTCAACATAATCTCATGACATGGCTTCATGACTCCCTATACTTGGTTAAATCAAACGTCAAAGTTCTTGAACAGCTGCAATCATACAGTACTAAGATTATGAGTCAGATGTAAAATACTAAAATCATTCTCGTAAGGGATATCCTGCAAGAAAGACTAGCATCACCTTCTTTCGGAGTCTCTATACACTCCGACTAATGCCTCCGCTTTGTCATAGAAGCTGTCCTTGAGTGATATCACGATACTCTGGAAACCACATCCTCCATCACCATCTTGGCTGCCTCGAGCACCATCGCATGATTTTGACCTAATGAACCCAGCAACCTTGGCAACATTCAAGTTATCTAACGCTGCGTCAACTTCATCCAGAATGAAGAATGGAGATGGCTTGTAACTGAAGCAGTAACAAAAGAATAAATGTTCAGATGGAAAAGATCTGCTTCACTATGGCTTGAATAGCATGCCTTATTTAAGGTAAACTACAGGTAAAAACATCTTCAAATATCTGGGTCCTCAGGCCAAATAAAGATAGGTCCATGCAGATTGCCATAATCAGATAAAGACTCCCAAAGAAAGCAACATAGTGACTATAATTCAAATGGCATTTCAAATTATAATTAAACAGCATGGAAATTTTTCACATGTGGAATCACATTTTCAGATGGCTTAAGCACGAGTATTGGAGAAGTTCACGAAGAAAGTGGTTATTTAGCAAAAATCAAAACATATTCCACTGAAAGGAGAAACTAGAATCAGGTGGTGGCCAAAATAGGGCATAAAATTACTATACAACAAACCAAAGAGAAGTTCCCCACAGAAAGTACCTGTGAATTGCAAATAGCAAGGCAAGTGCTGCCACAGTTTTCTCCCCACCTGATAACTGCTCCATATCCCTGAACCGTTTGGTAGGAGGCATGGCTGTGTATTTGATTCCATGCAAAAAAGGCTCATCCTCATTTTCAAGATTCAGATATGCTGTCCCCCCAAGTGGATGTGTTTGACTCTTTGTTAATTGCTTGTAAATTTTGTCTATACCCTTAGAAATATGATCAAAGGCTTCCATGAAAAGCTCATACCTGAAAATTTTCACAACAGATTTAAAGCACAGCACATTAATAAAATATGGTTAACAAGTCTGGAAGCAAACTTGTAATATGTACAATAATAGTATCCAAAGAAGCACAAGATATTGTAACGAAAATGATGGCTGGGAAAAATGCTCTAACATTCAGGCAGTATGAAATTTATGTTTCTAGAATACACACATGGTTTAAATTACCCCCTGAATGCTTTAAGCACCAACTACAAATTTTTCAAAAAAGAAAAAAGAGAATTTTGACAACATAACACAAAAGAAAAAGATCCAAAAACTAATACTTCCAGATGGTTGTGGAGACTAGTACTAAGTTGACCATGTTTTGGCAATTAATATACAGTAGTTCTCTCTTCAACAAATTTCTATAAGTTCTTTATGCACTGGCTTTGTTTCAAACATTCAAGTTTT